TCGAGCTGAAAGACCATATGTTTTAATGGTACAAAAAGAAAAAAACAAAACAAAGAAGATTTGAGGAATATGTTCTGGTAAAAATATGATTATTGAGACGTACATTTTATTTTCGGTGAAAAGGGTATTTTAGCCCTTATATTTTTTTTCAAGCTTTATAGAAATGAAAGCTTGAACAGGGTTACATGTGTGGGGGTTTTTGGGGAAGGGGATGATTTAACCCCAAATCTAGCGAGAAGCCCAATGTGAAAAACAATACTTGCTCTACACAAGGCTTCTCAAAATGAACTCTTTTATTTATTCTTAACATTAAGCAATTTACATACTTTCATATTTTCATATTGAAATAAGTTATTATACGTATTTTTTTTATTAAAATAAATTAACTTAAATTTGATAAATAATGTCATGACACATCAAAATTCCATAAAAACTATCACATAGGCATTAAGGTCTTTATCGTTTAGCATATGTGTGCTCCGTGCATGTGATCATTCGGGGTTTTTTTTTTCCATAGGACTTTGATAAAATAGTATAATTTTTAGATTTTTTTTTGTAATTTTTAAAAAATGTGGTTGATAAACACCCGTCTCTTTCTTTTATTTGGCTAGAAAGATTATACTGTAATTTCTTTTATAGTGAAAGTCAATGATATTCTAGTACTAGTTAGTGGTAAATTGATAAATTCTAATAGATTAGGGGTAAAAAGGAAAAGAGAAAAAGTAGTAATTTGCAATTTTATTAATCCACTTGTTTACAAACAAACACCCACAAATTCATTTTCAAGATTCGGTTAAAATTTTTTTTAAAAAAAATCCATAATATTCATGTTATCTTTTCTCAAAAAAAAAAAAAATCCACAATTTTATGAACTTAGAGGAAATTTAGAACATATTGCGCGCCAAAGAATCCTCAATCGGAAAGATCACGATCATAATTAGAATCAATCAGCTCTAGCACTGCGGCAGATCTACCGGTGGATGTGGTAGAGTCTCCAGCTCTCCGACCCCATTTTTCACTATCAACACCGTGCCTAGTCCCCATGACTGGTGCACATCAATGTGACAGTGCATGAACCATACCCCTACAGAACATATCAAACCCTGCGTTACATATTACACCACCAAACCAAAGTAATTAAACCCAAGAATTTTATTTTAATGCAATTGAGTATAAAACTTACCCGGATTGTCAGCAACAAACCGAATTGCCGCCCATCCGCCTACTGGAACTCCAATGGTGTTCATGTAAGGCGGATCCACCAGGTTGAAATTCGCCGTCCGTATATTAAAGTTGCCCGTACCAAATCCGATAACATAGAAGCTGTAACCGTGAAGATGGATTGGGTGGTTTTCTGTGCTGACCGTCCCAGTGTCTTGGAAAATTATCTGCACATTAGTCCCGTATTCAATTACCTTGGTCTTGGTCCCATTTAGAGCCTGTGTATTATTAGGGGCATTATTTGGTGCCCCATCGACAAAGTCATAGAACTGAAGGGGTGCCCCAGGAAAATCCTCTGTGAATTGTCCTTCAATGTTCTTATAGTAAGCTTCCAGAACCGAAATCGGCGGCTTAACGAAAGTGAAATTGTTCATAGACGCCGCAAATGTGCCGTTGTTCGGACCCTGGCAGTTCTGTTGCGGCGTCTTGGATTTGCACTTGTTAACGTTCAATCCAACGGTAACAAACAGAGTCATGTCGATTTCCTTAGGAACACTCACTTGATTAAGGCTTCTTAGACCGTCCATGACGGTCTTAACGGACAGATTATCATTAAACGAAGGTAACTTCGCCGGTAATGAGATGCTGTTGGTCGCGGCGCCTAAGTAATTGAAGTAGGCGATTGAGGATATGTTTTGGAAGGAAACGTTTTGGGCTGACATGTAGGGTCCCATGGCCATGGAGTATATTCCGATGGGTTGATCGGCGGTGACGAGAACGTTGATGGTCTGTCCCGGTCCCACCATCACACGGTCGGTGGTGAACGGCTTCGTGTACTCTGCATCCACCTCCACGATCGTCATCTTGTGATTGGCTATGGTGAAAAAGTTCTCCATGTTTAAACCGGCGTTTATCAGCCTTAGCATGTACGTCTTCTCCGGAACCACATCAATCTTATACACATCTGAATCAACAATATTATTAGGAAAGATTACTTATAATAATTGAAGATACTGGTAATTAAGTAATAATTAATTAATCTTTTTTTTTTTTTTCTTTTTTATGAGTGTGTAGCTAGGTACCATTAGATGAGCAATTGTAGTTGGGTCCAGGGTGGCCGTTAATGGTGAAGGCATCGGCGGGGGGAGAACCTCCGCCACTGGCGAGGACTTGTTTCTCGAGCTGGACAACGTCTTTGAGCCAATACTCACCGAGGATTACAATGTGTTCTTCGTAAGGATGCTTGAAAGGATGAGGAACGCCTGTCTTGGGGTAAACAATAAGGGCACCATAGACTGTGGCCCGGAGCCAGGAAACATGAGCGTGCCAGAAAAAGGTGCCTTTCTGCTTCACCATGGTGAACTCGTACGTGAAACTCTGGCCAGCTTGAATCGGACACTGAGTAATGTACGATGGACCGTCGAACCAGCAGGACAGCTTCTGCCTCACTCCATGCCTAAAAATGTCATCAAGAAACAATGCAATATGATGTGCAGATAATTAGGGGACAAAAGAGATATCTGAATAAATGAATTAATGGAGAGATCAATTACCAGTGGATGGTGACATTGTATGGGGTCTCATTGGTGACTGTAACAATGATTCTATCATCTTCCTGGGCATACACGACAGGGCCCGGGAATATTTTGTTGACTGTAACGATCTCTTTGGTGTTGCAGAGTTTAGTGACTCTGAGAGTTTGTACCTGTTTTTGGTACTAATGTTAATCAACATGCACAAAAATTACTTACAAGAAACACTGAATTATATGAGCTGAGTGAGAGACCTTGAAGTCATAGAACCTGGTTGATCCTCCTGAAGGCCAATGTTTATGTGGCATAGCCTGTACAGCGTACAAAGAGGATAGTAAGCTCGAGAAGAGAAGGAACAGAGTGGCTAAGTTGGCCATTTCTCGAGAGAGGACGGGAGGAAGAAAAGAGGGGAGGGATTTTAATAGGGGAAAAGCATGGAAATTTTTTAAGGTTGGGAAGGAAAGTAGAAAAAGATTGTGTAATTGTATTATGTTTGTCAGCTTTCATGATTCGTTAACATGGTTGTGTGATAATAAGTTGTTGGGGATGTGATTATTAAATGTTGAGACCCCACTTCGTGGGGAAAGGTTTAGCCAATTCTCTGTTTTTCCCCTTAGCAGCAAAAGCAGATTATGTTTCCCCCCTTTTTTTTTCTAGTGAAATTATGTCCTTTGACTGAGAAAAATGGCCTAAGCTCCCCATGCTCAAAACCCCACCACTTTAGTCACAAATTTACCAATGTTTTTGCCACAAAAGATACCATTACATTTGTCGGTTCTCACTAATCATGGCTCTAAACTTCTGGGTTTACTACGTTTTTCTCATATCCCATAGTTTATCATTTGTTAATTTAGGAGCTAATTAGAAGATGAATGTAAAAAAGGAGTGATAAGACAACCAATGGGTCCAAACCCTGCTGTGCTGAAAAAGGGCAAAAGGTAGGAAAGGATGGCTTTGTTTGTTCCGGCTTTTTTAGACACCTTTTTATGCTCAATCATAAGCAAAGTTAGGAACATGCTTCCTAACTAACTACCTTAATATTATCAATCAGATAAAAGTTATTTATATTTTTAATCACAAATTTAAAATTTAATCTCTAATATTTAAATATAAAAAAAATTAATTGCTTTAATCCCTCAAAAAGCTTTCGTAAAAAAAAAGGAAAAGGGGGGGGTTAATTCATGCTTAAAAGCCAGAATTTTTTTTAATTTATTTTAAATATGAAATTCTAACCTCACACCATCTAATCCCATTCCTCAATTGATTAATGTTTCTCCTTTGCATTTCATTCCCTCATTTTAAAAACATCTTAATTTCATGACTCAGGTGCTAGCAAAAATAGATTTCATGATTTTTCTACTTTCTTGTTGTTTTTTATTTTGGGGTGGGGGGCATGGTGGATTGAGGAAATGGTTGAGGGCCAAATTTCGGTACCCACAACAGCAGCACCAATCACAATTTTTGTAGGTTTAATAACAGAGACATTGATTGTTTTTTAAACATAATACTAACGCACAAAAAGGCACCACATACCAAATTTCAATTTTCTCTTCTCTACCAACCTCTTCAATGGGAAATGGTTTTTTGGTCACAATTCTTGGTCAGAACACTTTTTTAATAAAAAAAAATCAAAGAAAAGAGCAAAACTGTTGTTCAATCTGTTCCATGCGTTAGGTACCAACGAGAAATAAATCAAAGAAAAATTAGATTTCTTCTGGGATTACAGATTTCAGATATGGGCGTTGGGTAGATGTTTGGCTGCCCAGAAAATTGATTTACATTAAACTAATTAAGTCAAATAGCCAAAATTATGAGGGGAGATTAGAAAAACATAAAATCATAAAGCAGATTACTATGCATAGTGGATTTTATAGTATTTTTTGAGTTCAATCTTACATATTGCTAAATGACTATATAAGACAACAAAACACAAGTTAGTGTTCCTTTCTCAAATCCTCTTAATCCGATGGCCAAATTGCTTATTTTTGTCTTTTTAATTTTTTTTCCAGACGTGAACATAAAACCATTAACTCCATAATCCACAGTAGATTCCTAAACTACCTTCTTAATATTCCAACAACTTCTCCTTTTCAATTTAGAATCTATAACTTGAATAATTTAATATTTTATAAATTAAATTTATAATTTATAATTAAAAATATAAATAATTCTATTATCAAATCAATAAAGATCATTTAACACTAAATTGTAACTGTACTGCAAAATTCAAGTGTAGGAGAGGGATCTATGGATTCAGACAAAATTTCTGCCAGTGGATGATTGTGTTCTATATGGCATGACATTTTTAACTTCAATCTTACGCTACATGCATGCCTACTTCTGAGTTCTGATCATGTCAGGAAATCTTTACTGCTACAGTTTTCTTAATCTAAAAGCTTT